AAAGGGACATTCTGAGCCAAGATACAACAGATTTCAGAACTGTGGCATTGACCTCATCATTCTCCCAGCCTTGGCAGCGACTGGCCCAGGTGTGGGTCACTTCAGCCTCCAAATAGGGCTCAGTCCCTGGGGCCTTAGGAGGTTTGTGTTTCTAGGTTTTTGTAGATACACTGGCTACAGGGGTGGGCTCGGGCAGCCAGAAGCTAAGGAAAGGCAGAAAGAAGGGTGAGGAATGGCAACCCCAAATTAGGTCTAGGAATGGTCTGTCCTCTCCAGGGAGCCATAGGAAAGGACAGAGGGGTGGAGGAGTCAAACTCAGAGAATGTCAGTTGGGACTCAGAGGAGGTGAAGTGCTTTTCGTTTGCATACTGGACAAGGTAAGCTCAGAATAGAGAACAGAGAAAGGAGATTCGAACTTGAACTCTGGCATAGGGCCAAGCAAGACCACCTGGCAAAGTCCTCACTCCAGGCCTTAGTTTTCTCTGTAATGTAGGTATGATAATATCATCTCTGTCACAGCATTATTGTGGGGATTAAATGAAATGATGTCATAAAGCAACTGGAAATCATCTGACACATATTCAGTGTTCAAGAAAAGGTGTGTAAAGCAACATGACAGCAATTATAAAACAAAAACAGTAACAAAACCCTGTTACTAAATGGTTTCCTGATCTCTCATAGTTAAGTACATCCTTGTGAAGGAAAACTCAGCCTGGGTTTTCTGTATGGAATCAGGTTCCTCCTAGCATATCTATTATAAGTCAGCAGCAAGCTGAGGCCATGTTTGTAAGCAGGATCATATATAATGGAAACTGCACTCAATGGAAAGTACCTCACCTCTTTTTCTAGTTGTATGTATTCATTTAAAAAAAATGTCTGCAATTTTTTTTTTTTTTTGGTATCGGGGATTGAACTCAGGACCTTGCACTTGCAAGGCAGGTGCCAGAACCACTGAGCTAAATCCCCGGCCCCATGTCTGCAGTTTTTACAGGTCATTTCAGTCTTGAGATCCCAGGGGCTCCCGTTCCAGGAGTGTCAAAGTCCTGGTGATATTTTTAAACACAGACACATAACTGGCCCAGGTACATTACAGCAACTCCTCCAGTCACGCGCATTTCATCACACTCACACCTTACTCTCTTACCAGAAATGCTTTTCTAGTGTTTGCATCTTAGTTCATTTTTACAGAAATTTCCAGTTCAGCTCCAGTAGCATTTGCATCTCATTACACTCCTGATAATTAGCTCTATCTCATTACACCCCAGCCCAGTTGGAATAGGATTAGTTGTTTTCAGGTGTAAAACTATGGCGTGCAACTTACTACACCTCTTCAAAATTCCAGACAGGCCTTCTGCCTCAGCCAAATTAGGACAACAACTTCCAGCTGTGTACAGTTCATTACCACTTCTATTCAGGAAAAAAACTTCACTGTATTTCACATCTGGTCATATGCTTATTAATTATGTACTTCTCATAACAACTGGGCCTAATTAGGACAGAGTTGAGACCTTTGTCGAGCCTAGTGATTCTTTATGTTTTCTTGTTCTTGATACCTCATTACCCTCCCTCCAAATTAGGCCCAATTTGTTTTACATCCTTGCCACATTAAGACAATTGCTCTCAGGTATGCATATTTCAGCATATACTTTGCTTTTCAAGCAAAATTTTGTTGACCAGAACCTCATTTTCATATCCTGCTAGAAGGGCAGCCACTTCAATGGTCTTCTGGTCACATCTGCCTTGAATGGAGTGATTCAAGTTTGGGCTTGCTAAGTTCAGGCTGGTGGCTGGTCTCTTGTTCTGTTATGAAATTTCTGTGGTCTGGTCCTGGGGAGGCAGCCACAGCAATCCCTCAGGACAAGAATCCTGAATGCAATGGCCACGGTCCATTCATAGAGCCAGTGAGGCAGGAATCCCTTTGTTCACTAAGAAACAGTAAAGGGTAAACTGCCAGGCTGTGCTAGCCAGCAAGGGCACAGTGGGTAGTGAACAGTGACGTTCCGAGACTCCAGAGGGCAAAGCTCAGATGAGAGCAGCAACAGGGGGTCTGGCTGAAAGTTTCAGTCCTCAATCCTATCAGATGTCTTCCTAAATGAAAGGAAGTCTTACAGAATTGGGGGACTCTGGCAAGAGGAAGATCACAGTGGAAGTTTTAAGCAGCAAGTGGAAGTTTAAGTGCCATGTCACAGGAACTGTCTTTTTTGCTTGCCATTGCATGAATCCCACATCACCTGAGCTGTAAGAGGCAATTATCTTTTTCTGACTGACTGAATGAATACATTAGTGCTAAGAAATGTGGATATGACTTGACAGTAAGAATCATCAGGGTTTGGTTGCCACCAATTTAACTTGTCTGTGTTGGAGTTTTTCTTTCCAACCTATTTGAACCACAGAATAATGACTACTAAGCTTGGCAAACACGCAGGCAAGATTGCAGCCCAAAGAGGGTCTGGGGCTTATGTGAATGGAGTCACACTGTGTGCCTGACGCAGTGATTCTGGGTGGAAAGTCCCACCACAGACTTTGGGTGAATGCCCAACTGATGAGTATGGGCTGTAGGAGCTCAGGCGTGGCCCTACCACTGAATTCCAGCTGATCTGGACCCACTTAGAAGTAAATTTGGCCGGATGGGGATTTAGCTCAGTAGTTCTGCCGCCTGTCTTTGCAAGCACAAGGTCCCGAGTTCAGTCCCCGGTACCAAAAAAGAAGAAGTAAATTTGGCTTTCAGAGCCTGGAAGCAGATATTGTCCATTTCGGGCAAGGACAGCAGGAGGATGTACTGTGTCCTTGTCTAATGTGGGGATGTTATTAGCTGTGAGGGGGAGAAAGTTCTAGTTGAGTAAAAAGCTTTAATAATCCCATTGTGAGGTAGGAATAAAAACACCACATTAAGATGAAAGTTCTTGAAGAAACTTTATTAATAGGATGGGTATTTTAAATAGGTGCTGATGGGGTAAAGGGCACAAGAATATCTGAAGATTAGTTTTGTTTATAAATTAAGAGGTGTACTGACACAAGATAGATAGCTAAAAGTAACAAAATAAAACAAAACAAAACCCTGCAGTGGAAACAACTACCAGTACTTCTGAGAACACTACTTGCCAACACATTTCAAGAACTGAATCCATCCTGTTAAATTTAGTTTTTTTAAAGGAATTTACCCTAAGGGTGGCTAAATTGGGAGAGACTCTTCCATTACTTTCAGATCCCCTGGGCATGGTAGAAAGGAAAGCAGTGTTTATGACACAGGGTTGTTGTGAGGAGAAAATGGGAAAAAATGATAGGTATCATAGAGCAGGTGACAGTGAGCAGGAAGCTCTTCCTGGGAGCTGCCATTGCTTGTGGAGCTTTCTCTGAGGATCAGGCTGGGTGTAACAGCCTCAAAGCCCTTCTCCTTCACAGTCATGTCTACTGTCCATCTCAAGGCTCTCCCTAGTTCTTTGAGCCCTCTCCAAGGTGCTGTGATTAGTGTTGCAGACAAAGTGCCATATACTGCTGTCCCTGGTATGGGAAGGGGACTGGTTCCAGGACCCTTGTGGTTGCCAAAATCCAAGGATGCCCAAGTCCCTTCTATACAGTGGCATGATACTGAATATAGCCTATGCACACTCTCCTGTGTCCCAAATCGTTTCTAGGGTACTTATACTACTTGATATAATATAAACACAATGTAAATAGTTGTACTGTTTTGTCTAGGGAATAAAGATAAGGAAAAAGGTCTGTTCATGGTTATACAGACACAATTTTTTCCATACGTAGGTGTGATCTGTAGTTAGCTGAATCCTACGAGGCAGAAGCCATGGGTAGGAAGGGCCAGCTGTATGTCATCCCATTTGTCCTTTGTTTGCTTTGTTTTCAGTGCTTCTTTGGTGAGGCCTATCTTGTCGGGCCTATGAGCTGCAACAGCACACTTTAAGGAGTTGTCCTTACGGCAGAATGCTCTGTGGCTATTTGTCAGTGTGTGTATATTCTGGGTCCTATCCTTGGTGGACCTGGATCTTCTAGCACTTTCCAGTCATGACTCTGAATAGCACAAAACCAGTCTGATAATCTCCCCAAAGTAGACCATAATCTGTGGAAACCTTCACTTTATCCCCAATGATGGTAGGTTTTAAGATGGCCAAGTCATCTCCATTTCCATCCATTCAACCATTTGCTGAATGCATTTTTGACTTTTTGAAGAATGAAGACTGATGTGATAATCTTCAAAGAAATTTGTGCCTTGAAAGTCTTAGACCAAAATCCCTACCCTCCTCTTTCTATGCAGAATTGATGCTTTTCAATTCCATCATTACTGTAAAGTCAAGCAAGGTGTCCACTTTCCTAAATGCTCCCCTGTAGCAGCTGATCTGCCATTTCTCTGCTGGTTCTCAGAGCTCCTGACATTCTATTCAGCCCAAAACCACAACCCTTTCTACCTCCAGAAACACTATGCTGAGCCCTCCCCAGTCCTATCCATAGCTCTTCTGGCATCGCAGTCACTCAGTATTATTACCCTGGATGGGGCAGGAAGGAAAAGAGAAATCAAAGTGTCTACTCTGGGATGCCGTGGCTATTAAGTGGAGGCTTTCATACCAAAGTGATCTATTGCGCTCTCCCCTTATTGTCTTCCTCCCACATCTACTCTTCAGTAGATCACTTCCAAGGACCTTGTTGGGAGCCATTTGTTTTTCCATGGTGGTTTCCTACACAGACTCAAATTCTTCTCAGTCAGCCCTCTGACCCATATAAATGTGTAGCATTTCTTCCCTCCAGAAGCCCCCGGAAGGCTGTCCTGCAGCTCCCTGCTGGATCCCTGCACAACTGCTCCACTGTCTAATCCAATTCCTAGCTCAGCCCTGAGTGAGCCCTCATCAAGATTTGGAGTCAAGTCCCTTCTTAGATAACAGTAGTGTCCTCTTTGTCTACATATCTGCCCTGAGCATAGCAGTACTTGGCACACATTAGGCCATCAGGGAATGTTTGCTGAATAAAGAATGTAAGAAAAACAACATGCCACATTTAAGCTTCTCAAGACAGTCTTTATTTTTTTGTTTATTCCATCAAAACCAAAGTTGTTACAAACAGGCACAAAATCCAGTCACAGACCTTCCCGCTCGCCTTTCCATGTGTGTTCAAGATGCTTCCTGATCACCGCACTGTTCCTCCTGTGACAGGTGACCAGGCACAGCAAGAGGACTGGGGGCCTGGGGTAATGGTGAAGTCCAGTGTGCCAGGAACACAGTGAGCATCTGCACTACAGGAAAGCAACTCTGAAACAGGCTCAGTTGGTGGCCCCACAGAGAGAGGAGAAATGTCATGGCTGTCCCATCATCCTTGCCCTCAGCTAAGCAAACCTGGGCTACTTTCCCAGATGTTCATGGGAAGATAAGTAAGCACCTCAGAATCATTAACCTCCAAACAAGGTTTTAAGTGAGGCGAGACGTTCTCTAACCATTATTTTTTTGGAAACCAGAGTGGGTCAGACCACCTTTCCTTCTTCCATTTTTATCACTAATTTATGGCTCTTGGTTTTGATACAGTCAAAATACAAAGGCAGTAAACCAACCAACAGCCTAGGTACAAGCTACAGCATATAAATTCTCTAAGAGGTTGAGATAAAGGATATTTTCCCCCCTAACTCTGAAGAGTTCCTGTTTTGGTTAGGGAAATTTGTTGAAAGCCACAACCAGCTGAGAAGCCATTTATATGATTTGGGTAAAGTGATAGAAAACAATGCATGTACACTTATTTTATTGGACTGTAAACCAACAAGGTCAAGAGAGTAGAAACAGAAGACTATTAAGTGGCTTTAGGAATGGACTAAAACATAGGTGCCAGTCTACTTTGAAAGCTGGAATTTTATATATGCCGGGGAATAAACAAAGTATAAGTCATCCATTCGTTTCTCAGAGTGTAATAGCTTGATATACCTTCCTTCCTTGGCCTACCTCAGCCCCTTTAGAATCAACTGTACTAATGTAGTTGTTACAGTAAAACATTTTGTACTGCAAACTTCCTTCAGAGCTCCTAACAAAAGCCAAACCTAAAGAGAAAATAATCCTTACACTTTTCTTTCTACTAAAGCATCAGCATAGACAAAACTAACCTTGGAAGATACCAAATAACATACCAATAAAGAGGTGAGTCTGAGGAAACAAAAGCAACCCCCACCCTACCGCAGTGCACCCCATTAAACAGTAGTTATTTTCTTATCTTTGGTGGCCTGCTTGATGGCCGCCTGCTCACAGATGATCTCCTTAAGCCTCTGGAGCCTCGAGTTCTGGGTGGTCTGGTCCCCCACTCCCGTCTGACTTCGGTGCAGCAGGGTCAGGGCGTGGATGTATTCCAGCTCCGTGTACTTCACGCCCTGGTCCACCACCAGGTTCAGGAGCTCGTCGGCCGTGTTGTACAGCATCTCATAGTACTGCCTAGGATGAAGATAGAGCCCTGCTCAGTGCCATCAGCAGCAGCAGTGTTGGCTAAGTGGGGATGAAAATGCTCTTGAAATGTTAATTGGTTTACTTACTCCACAAACACTGATCTCCTGGCAGTCTGGTTTTGTTTCATTCAATCCTTCATTTGTTCATTCATCATTTATTATTGGAGTCTTTATAAAACATATGTTTTTTTTCCTCCATAAAGAAGATAATAATAGTACCTACCTTTTAGGGTTATTGGAAGAACTGAACTGATTAATCTATATAAAGCAGTTAGAATGGTGGTGCTTCATAAAGGTAAAGTCTTCTTAGAACTATGATAGAAATATAACAAAAGTAACAGCATGGCCCTTTTTCCTCAAGAAGTTCCAAGACAGGTAAGAAAGGGAAAAAGAAACCTAGAAATAGCAATTTTATTGCTGGTGACAGAGTTCCTTCCCCTGCCTGGTGCCATTTAACCCTCACTACACCCAGGAAGTTGCAACTTCCTTTACTTGGATAAGAAAACTGAAGCCAAGAGGAGTTAGAAGACTTGTCCAGTGTCACAAAGACAACACCTACCATCCCTAAAACCAGCATTTCCGCTACTATACATGTACTCAGTGTATGCAGGACTCGGAACTACCACTTGCACTATTCCCAAGCACCTAGGGGTGGTAAAGGCTCTGAGCCAGCTTTGCCAACACAGCCTGTTAGCAAAGGGACAGAGGGCCTCCCCGGGCACCATTCACTTTCTTCTCTCTTCCTGATATGAAGGGAGCTTTGGGAGGATTGAGGGATTCAGGCAGTAGCGGTTTAAGGCAACTCTTCTGAGTGAAAGGATCTTAAGGCTCTATCTGGATCACTGGCTTAAAATCCTGTGTTATTGGACTCAGGGCTTTGGATTTGTTTCTTCATCAGGAATACCTTGGAAAAAAACACACATTCTAAAATGAAGCCATTCTAGGAGCTTTGTAATTTCAAGAATATTTTATAAATCACTGCTGCAATGGATATGTGATCAAAAAAAGTTTTGGTATCTTTTCATATGGTTGGTCTACTTCCTGCACTGCTGACCCTGTTTTTCTAATTAACATACAATTAAAAAATAGAATACTTAAAAAGAAGATTGAACCCAGACAGTGCTAAGGTACATTCTCATCCCTTTTTAAAAAATCTTATTTTGAGTCAGTTTTGCTAAATTGCTCAGGCAGGCCTTGAACTTGTCAGCCTCCTGCCTCAGCCTTCTAAGTACCTGGGATTATAGGCATATACCACCATCTCTAGTGAGAAATGATATTCTTTTGTGATATTCTCTAAATAGTAATGGGAATGAAAGTAGTTATTTTAGATGAATCATCATGAATCTCTTCTAGGAGCAAATTGTTCAGCATCACTGTGTACAGGGTCCTCTTAGGGCTACTTTTTTGTAATAGTTTTAAATGAGTGTGCCTTTTAAGCTCCTAGAGCCTGGTAGCCAGGAGCCACTGCACTGGTCAAGGCTAACTTTGAATGTAGACAATAGTACTTCTTATGTATTTCTTATGCTTCACGTGTAGTATAAAACCCATGTGAGCTTTATGTTCTACTCCTCAATATATCTGTTGTAGTTCAAAATATAATACTTTAAAAGCTGGGTGTGGTGGTACATACCTGTAATCCCAGCACTCTAGGAGGCTGAGGCAGGAGGATTCTAAGTTTGAGCCCAGCCTTGGCAATTGAAAGAGGCCAAGCTTCAAAATAGAAAATAAAAAAGGGCTGGGGAATACAGTTCATTTCAAAAGCCCTGGGTTCAATCTCCAGTACCACAAAACAATAACAACAACAAAACATACTGTAGGAAGATGTACTGTATTTGGCCTATGGCTTCATATGTTTCCTTGTACACAATGGCTTCTTCCCTGTGTGGGACTGTGTGATTCAAAAGTTAATTACTCCCCTAGATTCTGTTGTAAATTTGATGGTTGGAGTGTGTTTGCCTCGGGACAATGGACAATCAGTAATAGGGCGAGGTTACTCAGCCATCTGTTTGCCCTAAATCCAAATG